TCATCAGTCAAGGAAACAGACGGAGAGATGGGGGGGATGGGGACAATAGAGGGGGGTTCCAATATCTATTCAGAAAGACAGCTGTAGCCAACAGGATTTATTTATAATAATATTATTTGGTAGCAAGGAACTTACCATGGCTGAATGTAAAAAAGTGTTTTTTGATGAGTTAAAGAGATTAAGAAAAATCAGGCAGATTTTGACAGAGAATGGTGTGTAAATGAGAGGTGTTATCACTCTGAATCTGGCAGCTCCATTTTTGTTATGGTGGAAAATATCAGTATTATTTACTAAGAAGATTAGGGCTGAATTGGAAGAGAGGCTGGTTGTTGTGTGGAGATTGAGATAAGATAAAGGATTTTACCTTCTATGCACAAGCCAAATGCAATACACACAGGACTGTTATCTCCAGCTCAGGCCTAGCAGAGGTATATTAAGATGTACATTGTAATTACCAGTGGCAGGAGTAGATTTCATAAAGACTATTTTAAACCCTAATAAAATGCTGGCCTTTAATTATACAGCTTTGAAATATTTTTCTTAGTTAATTGCAACAGAAAAAAAAAATCAACCTAATATTTGAAACTGATTCTCGCAGAGAAAGCTCAAGCAGCGCAAACAGCCTTTGCCTGATCTGCACTTGTTTTGCTGTCTGGCTTCATTTTGTGAGTTGAATCACAGAGACAACTGAGACTGCTAAACACCTTCCTCATTTCCCCCCTGCTATCCAGAAAGCAAGATTAGCAAGGAAAGGGGGAAGACAGGGGGAGTAAATCTCCTTTCCATGACATAATTAATTAGTTCCAAAAATGAGCTGCACACTCATGAATCACTCATGGACAGCTCCAGCTCTAGCTCTCCTATGTACTAATTGAGGTGGGGAGGGTGGAAAATTATTTCTGAACATTAAGTGCCATGTAATGGAGAAGAGCAAACTACATAGCTTGGATGGTTAGCCCAAGATATCCTATCTGATCTGGAACTGGGGTTAGAAATCATATGAAGTCAATTGAACCTCCATTTCCAACCCTCCCTTTCCAAACCCCCTTCCCTTTCTTTAAAAATGTGCTCTATCCCATACCAATACTTTATCCCAGGGATGTTCAATAGCTGATAGTATCATCACAACCGATCGTAGATGCTTTGGAATAAGACTGGTCTTATTGTTAAAGAAGAGGACTGGGAGTTTGCAGATTATTCCAGATCTGCCGCGGAACCCCTGTGAGACCTTGATTGTATTATTCCCTGCCTCAGTATCCTCACCTGTAAAATGGAAATACTATTGCTATGCCTTATGTGCTTGGAGGACTATCATATTCAATTGCTTGCTTTTGTAGCTGTCACATTAAAAGAAAAAAATCATACAATAGACATGTAGCTTTTACACAATGAAATTTTAAAAAGTTATCTTGTAAAGATTCCATTTGCACAATAGCAACAACTCTCTGTATGACCTACAGTTAGCTCCTTTCAGCAAAATGATTTTCCCGTCACCAAAAGCATACATAATACTTTATAGTCACAAACACACCTACATCATGGTCTATCTTTCATGCAATTTACTATTTGTGCAATTGTATCTAGAGAAGGGGCCCTGGTCTCAAATTTCTCCAGGGAATATTTTTAGTGTGTGAACTGGTCTTTTGCTGTGGATGGCAGGCATTTCAAAGTTGCAAGCAGACATCAAACATTACATGCATCATCTGCCTATAAGCAGCTAATTAAATTCCTATTGACTCTATTCATTTCCACCAAAACAATTATGCTTTTGGTTACACCTCATCATGCCACACTGTGTTTTAACGAGTTAAAAGGCATTGTATATGCTACTACAGTTTACCGAAAATTATGTAAGAATACAACACAATTAATAAATACAATCAAAATATCATAGAAAAAAAAGGCTGAAAGAGATTTCAGGAGGTCATTAGTCCAAGACCCTAATCCCTCTTTAAACCATCCATCAAACTAAGTTTGGAATACTTCACAACATACATTCATTTTCTAGATATTACTGTGAAGGTTTGCAATGTCCACATCACCATCACATTGTATTGGAAAGTAACTAACATCCACAGCTGCCTTCATATCACCAGCTTTCATCCTAAGCGTGCCACTAGATCTATCATCTACAGCTAAGTAATATATTACAATTGTGGGCACAGACAGAAGTGACAATTTTCACCCAATCTGGCCATAGAAAGCAGCCTATAGCCATGACCATACATAAGTGTATAGCTGCAGATCACTTGATCAGGCAAAAATCTGAACCATCGTTGCATTAGGGGGTCACACGAAGATGTTTCAAAACCAAGTGTCTTGTGTAACTTTTGCCTGCACTGTCTCCCAGCCTCAAGCTATTTCCAGAATGGGATCGGGGAAAAGGGAGCAGAGGGAGTTTGGTCTGGGGTTTTTTCCACCCCCACTGGAGGGCAGGGCAGGTGTCTTGAAGGCTCCCTCCCACAGGGGGGGTGGGGGTTCCAATTTCACCCCACCCCCCTCCAGTGCTGGCTGGGAAACCCGCAAAATGAGCTCCCTCTCCTCCCTCCCCACCATTCTGAAACAGGGACAGGCTTGGAAAGATGAGGGGCTGTTGCTAGGGGAAACTGGCTGCAGGCTCCCAGACAGCAGCTCGATTCCCTTCCCCCTGGAACCAACAGTGAACTTCTGTTTGGTCTGGGGGATTGTTGTAACTCAGAGTGCTTCCTGCAAAGCCTTCTCAGTTACAGCAGGGAGCTGTACTTCTGTCTGAGCCCAATATATGCTCAATCCTGGTGACCAGGATGTACACCTTAAAAATCTGCAGCATTCCTAGATTCCTAGAGCTACAACAATCACACAACTAGAGCCACGCAAATCAACAAAGCCAGACTCAAACCTCCCTCCAACCCGCTACAATAGCGAACCCCAGGACAACAGAGTCCCTCTGGTTGTCACCTACAACCCCCATTATGGATACCTTAAACACATCATTAATGACTTCTAACCCCTCCTGGAAAAGAATGACCATTTCAAAGTAACCAATAGGGACAAACTTGTCTTGGCTCACAGAAAGCCCCCCAGCCTCAAATGGCACCTTTCAAGCAACAAGTCACCTAACTCTGATTCTCACCAGGGCACCAGGCCTTGCAACAGATCCAGGTGCCTGGTGTGCCCCAACATCAGGACAGACCACATCATCACTGGACCTAATAACAGATTATAACACCTGAAGTATCTACAACTCTACCACTGTCATAGATGCTATCATCTGCTTACAACGCCCCTCTACTGTCTGCACTGGACAGATAGGAAGATTTCTACAAGTAAGAATAAACACTGATCTGACATCAGCTGCAGAAAGACAACAAAGCCTATGGAAGAACAATTTAACTTCCTTGGACGCTCCATTGCTGATTTCAGGGTAGCTGTTCTTAGACAGCACACCTTAAAAAACTGATTTGAATGTGACATTGCAGAACAAGAAATCATCACCAGAGTGGACTGTGTAAAATATGGTTTAGTCAGGGACTCCGGATTCTTATCCCATTACCTGAATTAACTTTTGTGACTACTTTGCTCCTATGGGCTCTTTGCTTATGTGCATCTCAGCACAGCTCCCCTCTTGCCTCCTTTCTCCCTCTTCTTCCCATGCCTTCCTACTTTTCATTTTCAAGTCACTTTCTCCGTTCTATAAACTGTTCTGTGCACGTTCTTTCACACCATGTGAAGAAGTAAGCTCCAGCTCACCAAACCTTATACTTTATGTAACTTAGTCTATAAAGTGCAAGTCTACCCTGCCTTCTGCTTGACTTCAGCCTAATACAGCTGACTACGTTTCTACACCATTCTAACCAAGTGCTTATTTAACAGTCTCTTAAAATCTTCGGAGACTGGAGAGTCCACAGCCTCTCTAGGTAATCTGTTCCAACACTTAGCTACCCTCATAACTAGGAAGTTCTTCCTAATAGCTAACTTATATTTTCCCTGGATGCAACTAATAACTGTTATTCCTTGCCCTACCTCCTGTGACCACAGAAAATAGTCCATCACCATAATCTTCATAATTATCCTTCACATATTTGAAAACCATTATCAAATCTCTCCTCAGTCTTCTCTTCTTCAGACTAAATGATCCCAATTCTTGCAACTTTTTCTCAAAAGTCACATGTCCTAAACTTCTAATCTTGTTTTCTACTTTCTACTGGCCTCTTCCTAATTTGTCCAAAACTTTCTTGAAGTGTGATGCCCCAAAATGGACACAATATTCCAGGTGAAGCCTCACCAGTGCTGAATAGAGAAGAAGAATCACTTCCTTTGACTTGCAGGAGACACTCCTGTTAATATAGCCTAGTATGCTATTGACTTGTTTTGCAAGAGCCCACTGTCAACTCTTATTCAGCTTGCAGTCTACTATAACCCCAGGTACTTACCTGCAGGACAGCAATTTAGCCAGTCAATCCCCAATGTATATTTGTGCATTTGTTGTTCTGTCCTAAGGACAGGTCTTTGCACTTGTCCTTACTGAATTTCATTAGATTATTTTTGGACCATTTTTCCAGTTTATCAAGGGCATTTAGAATCCTAATCTCTCCTCCAGAGTGTCTACGACTCTACCCAACTTGGCATTATCTGCAAATTTGCTAAATGTACACTCAATCCCATCCTCCAAATAATTAATGAAGATACTAAACAGTGTCAGACCCAGGACAGCCCCCTAGGGAACCCCAGCTGATACCTCCTGCCAATTAAACGGCAAGCCATTGATAGCAAAAGAAAGCACAAAATACTGTGTAAATACCAAGCATTATTGATATCAAGTCACAAATGAGACAGTGCATTCACAACTAATGCATGTTGACACTGCCTCCACGTAGCACCTGGGACTGCCATTGTCAAGCATGCCCCGCCTACTTGGTCCTAGAAATGGAACAGAGTGACCTTGAGAGCATGTCAGTAAGCAGGCCTGAGACAGAGAGCCACAGAGCTAGGTTTGTGCTAAGCACTGCTTCAATACAGCTGCATTGCCTCATTTTCAGAAACTGGTACATATAGAGTATGAATGAGTAAACAGAATACACTTCACAGCTGTGCTTCCAAATACAGCATAAAGGCTCTGCAGACTTGCCCTAGCAAATGCTTCTACCAAATAGGTATGGTCTTGTGAAACCGCTATGTGCAGCTCACTCCTTGAAGTCAAAGAAAATTCTGGACACATAAGACTGTAGGACACAGCCTCTTACAGAGGGCTGCCAACTCTGTTTGAATCTATTCTGAGAGGTTTCCTGAATGCCAACATGCCCGTGATACACAATGCGAACGTGCCCATGTGCTTGCGTATATCAGTTACGGATTATGGTGCATAGACTTTATGCCAGGAAGGCAAATGCACATTACTATTACATTTTAAAAACCCACTGGACTACTGTATAAATTGGATTCAACATTTAATACTTATTTTAATGAATGCCTTATCATTTATCTCCTGGGTGACTCTTAGCAGTCTCCTGGAGATTTATATCTAATTCCTAGAGACTCCAGGGCACTCCTGGAGGGTTGGCAACCCTGCTCTTACATCAAAATAAGGGAGTTTCAAATATATATACTAGAAAAATGGCTTAAAATAGGTGGCTAGTAGAGATAAGCAGGAGTCAGCCAGTTATATCCATGGGGGATCTTGCAATAAACTTTTGGCATTGTTGCTTTGATCTACATGGTTCCCCAGTCTGAAATTTGCTTAAGCAGATTCAAATACTGACTGTGAAAGATCAGCCCAACTGAATTTTACATAGCTTTGCGAGGAAAGCATGTGAAGCCCTTTCTGCACCCAAAAAGTGTTTTATTTTGGGCAGCAAGTAGGTACACTTGACACACCAAGCAGAATTTAAAAGTCATTTGGCCACAAGTATTAACAAGTAAAAAGCTTTTTGTACACCACATTCCATGCCAGGCCCTGGAGCTTCATCTGCACCAGCAGTATTTAGACTCACAATTCTGTCTGGAGTGGCAGTGGGAAAGCTAGTTAGTAGACAAGGGATATGTGTTTTAACCAGTCTCCATTATAGTCCTGATAAGGTCTGGAGAATTCTGGTCTAAACTCTGCTAGCACTGACAAACCTATGTCTTCTTTGGAATTTTACACCCATTATATTTTGCAATGGGTATTAAATTCCAGTTGATTTTGTGCAGGCTAGTGGCGGAATGATCTCAACACTAGTTGAGGGATAGCAGAGAGGGGAGCACTGTAGATAACACTTGTCATCAACGGATAATCTTCCTAGTAGAAACACCTCCAGCATTTCACATGACTCAGTACCACAGTTCAATTCCTGTCTTGCTCCTGAGACAGTGAAGTTACACACTGTTCTTTTCTAGTTCGATTTATCCCATTGTGGGGATCTGGCTCTAAACCATTATAGCTGGAATCATATTTAAACTGTTAATAATTTAACTTCACAAACGCGCAGAGTAGATAACAGCTACATTCCAGACAGGAAGGGGCCATGCAAGAGCAACAAAATGATCTTTTTTCCCCAGCACTCCCAAACAGTGCATTTGAAATGAAACTGCAGTTGACTAATAGATTAAGATCCATTAGAACTGCACTCAGTTCATCTTAATTTTTAGTTGCTGGCAGTCAGGCTGTGAAGAAAAGCAACTGCCTGCACAGTAAATGCCATATACTGCAGCAGACCAGTTACTCAGCCATTAGAGTGATGCTAAAACACAAATACAATACAGTGCTCTTGTGAACTAGTGCTAATCACACATTAATGTGCTTTCTGAGAAATGACCACTTAAAAAAATAAAATTTATTCAGTTGTTCTTTGATCAAAACCACACACTCTAGGTGACACTGCTCCTTTGATTGTGGGATGATTGGTTCAGTTTGCCCTTAAAAAGAGGCAAAGACTAAATTGTCAGACAAAACTCTTGGGATAGAGGTGATATCTTTTATTAGACCAACTAAGTAGTAGCAAAAAATGTTAGCAAATGCTGTCAGATTTGAGGCACATGTACAGTCCTGAGATGGATAGTCAATCCTCTTCCTACAGACACAACTGAAACTTCTTAAATTTCTTACATTAAGAAAAAAAAATACAAGAACAAGCAATACACAGATTATTTGTTGATGAAGCATAAATAAATGAATTTTTCCTGGACAAATTTTTGTCATCTCATGGTATATCATTTTCTTACCAAGCTTTCTATTATTAATGTGAACAGTTTTTGTGTAAAGAAATAAGCTGCCAGAATTTGAAGCCCAGGACACCAACTCTTCCCAATGAATAGAACAAAGCAAAAAGAATTCTTCTGATTTTGATGCTGGATTTGGGAAAAATCAAACATTCTAAAACAAGGGTTGGCAATTTTTTTAGGAGTGACAGGTTGAAATAATGCAGAAAGCAAGACAGGCCAAAGCTTCTGACCCAGCCAACACCACTTTGCCCTGCTGCTGAATTGCCACTGACATTCATGGGACCTAACCACCGACTGCCACAGAATGCCCTGCCACTGACATCCTGACTTTGCAGGCTGAATGAAGTGGCTTGGCAGACCGGATCCAGCCACAGGTTGCCATCCACTGTTCTACAACTTACTAATTATAGATGTGTTTCTTCCCTGCTGTGTCTGGTTTCAAGTACAGTGCAGCACAGGAGGTCTTTTGGTAGTACAGATCAAGCTTAAAGGCCTTCCCTTTCACCAGAGCACTTAGGTGCATATTTAACTTTAAACCCTGGAATTTGTGGAAGACAAACACTTTTCGTGATGTGCTCAGTGTCTTACAGGATCAGGCCTAAAAAACTTGGTCCATTGACAGACGTTCTTTCAAAGGTGCAATGGGATCTAATCCATGATCTCAACAATTGTGCCTCCTGCCGTGGCACATGTTCATGACAGAAGGTGCAATTTTGGGATTAGATTTCAAGCACACACACCTGCTAGTGCAGGGGGAGCCTGGGAATAAAGGTAGCCTGTGTAGAGCAATGCAGCGTGCTTGAAGGAGTGGCTATTGAGCACAGTAAGGTTCCTATACAATAATGGCCCAAATGCATTCTATGAGGTGCTGAGCATTTCCTTAATTTCCACAGATGTTTCCAGGTCTTGAAGGTATTCAGTACCTTGTAAGAAGCAAGAAGTGGCAGCAAGAAAACTGCTCGGCA